TCCCGAAACAGAATTGGAAGGAAATGTATGCGATTGAGCTTTCTCAGAAATGGGAGTGTTAAATGTTTTGTATACATCAGAAACTTCTAAAAACAGTGAATGTAGGACCTAGGTCTCAGGATTTTATCCATTTACAACAACAACAAACCCAGTGCAATCCCACAAGTAGGGTTTGGGGAGGGTAATGTGTACGCAGGGCTTGACCCTACCTGGTAGAGAGGCTATTTTCGATAGACGCTCGGCTCAAGGGACAGTGAAAAGGAAGCAACAGACAATAACAACAACGTGGTATCTTATTACCCTTTTTTTTTTTTGAAAAAAAATAGTATTAATACTACTAGTAAGACTAGGAGAAACTCTCGACTACTTGTCAACCTTGAAACCTAATTCTCGACCTCTACACCTTCCTATCGAGGGTCATGTCCTCGGTAAACTGAAGCAATGCAATATCTTGCCTAATCGCCTCTTCCTGGTACTTCTTTGGCCTATCTCTACCTTCTTCAGATGCGTCATGGTTAACCCCTCACACCTCCTAACCAGGGCATCTATGTCTCTCCTCTTCACATGCCCGAGCCGCCCCAACATCGATTCCCGCGTCTTATCCTCGGCTGGAGCCACTCCCACCTTATCCCGAATAACTTCATTCCTAATCTTATCTTAAGACAACAACATTGTCAAGGGTTTTATCCTATCAAGGGTTTTTTCCATTTTAGGGCCCAAAGTTAAGACAACATTGCCAAACTCGTACATAGGGCTGTTCAAAATCGAAGCCGTTAACCGAACCGAATCGAACCGATGGCTTATTGGCTTATTGGTATCGGATTATCGGGATAATGGATGGTGAACGGATTGAGATTTTACAATTAACGGCTTAACGGTTTTGGGGGCGGATTACTCAATTTTCCTATCGGGTAAACCGTTGACCCGTTAAGAATTTTTATATTTACACTTTTACCTCTATGTATATAAAATATTATTGAAAGTAATTTGTTGAATTGTCCGCTGGTTTTATCCGTAATAGCTGGATTGTCTGGATTTATGTCCTTTTTTGCATGCATCTAACAAACTAAAGTCTGATTTTCTGGATTTTTGGTTTTACAATCTGGATTTCTTGTGAAGAACGTATGTTACTGAAAGTTTGATTGATTCATATGTGTATGAGTAGTCTTGAATATGAACTAGATTGGAACTTGGAAGAAGACTCTTCAATTCAAAAATACTGTTAGATCTTAGATGGTATTAAAAATTTGGTATTGATTTGAAACCGTTTGGTATTGATTGAATGATTCTTCAAAAAAAATTTATTTGGTTTAGCCGATAAACCGCCCGATAATCGTTAATCCGATACTAATCTGCCCGTTGTCTTATTGGATGGCTAGCGGATTACTACATTTATAATCTGATAACCGATAAGCCGAACCGCTAAGCGTAATTATCCGCTTGATCCGCCCGATAAGCACCCCTACTCATACATACATCATTTGAGGACATATTACCCCAAAAAAAACAAGGTAATAGATAACAGGAGCGAACAACACAACAGATAGAAATAAAGATCTAAGAATAAGAAAATACAAGAATAGTACTAATGCTACTGGTAAGACTAGGAGAAATTCTCGACTATCTATCAACCTTAAATCCAAATTCTTGACCTCCACACCTTCCTATCTAGTTTCATGTCCTCGGTAAGCTGAACCAATGTCATATCCTGCCTAATCACCTCTCTCCAATACTTCTTTGGTCTACCTTTACTTTTCCTCAGACCTGCCATGGTCAACCTTTCACACCTCCTAATCGAGGCCTCTGTGTCTCTCCTCTTCACATGCGTGAACCACCTTAGCCTCGATTCCTACATTTTATCCTCTATAGGAGTCACTCCCACCTTATCCCGTATAACTTCATTTCTAATCTTATCTTAAGACAACATTGTCAAGGGTTTTATCCATTTTAAGGCCCAAAGTTAAGACAACATTGCCAAACTCATACATACATCATTCGAGGACATATTAC